CCTTAGACAATGATAATCAGAAAGGACGATCGCACACATGAGGATATGCTCCGAGCTTGTATTCTTAATTTCGGAGGCCATTGAGAAGATCATTTACCCTTAATAGAGTTTGCCTATAATAACAGCTATCAGGAAAGTATCGGCATGACTCCGTACGAGGCATTGTATGGTCGTCCCTGCAGATTGCCGATCTGTTGGGAAGAGGCGGGTGATAAAAAATTGTTTGATCTAGATCTTGCGGAGGAGACTACAACTAAAATAGTTAAGATCAAGAAAAACATCCAAACGGCTCAGAGTAAGTAGAAGAGTTATGCAGACACATGAATGAAGGATTTAGAATTTTAGAAAGGTGATAAAGTGTTCCTCAAGGTCACCCATTTCAAGGAAATCAGTAGATTTGGTAAGAGAGGGAAACTAAATTCCTGATTTATTGGACAATTTGAGATCTTAGACAGAATTGATACCACCGCCTACATACTGGCACTACCTCCAGAACTATCTAGAGTCTATAATATATTTCATGTGTTATTGCTACGCAGGTACAACTCGAACCCCGATCACATCTTGGCCCATGAGCCCCTTTCACTCCAGGAGGATTTGTTCTATGAAGGGGTACAAGTGTGCATTGTAGACCGAAAGAGCAGAGTACTCTGTAACTAGAAAATTCTCTTCGTTAGGGTTCTATAACAGAATCACACACAGAGAAAGACCATATGGGAGGTAGAATCAAACTTCAGAGCCCAATATCCCTTACTGTTTGATTGAGTGAGAGGGACACAAATTTGAGAAATCAAATTTCTTTTTGTAATAGCCGGATCTGAAATTTAGTTCGGAATTAATTTTAATATTTTAAATATATAAAAAAAATTATTTTAAATTAATTTATTTTAATTTTTGTTGAATTTATGAAAAAAAAAATTATAGATGAAATTGAAAATAATTTTAGAAAAAAAAGTGAAAATTTTGATTCGGGGGATGTTTTTGAAAGAAAAATCAGAAATTAAGGGTCATAGTACAAATAAAAAAAATTTTATTACATAGAACCGCCCATTCGATAACTCCGACGAATAGGAGCACGCCGTATGGCAAGACATGTTGATGTTGGTGCCACACGAGATGCCACGCAAGTGATCCGCCTAGGATCGATCTTGCACTCGTAGACGGCCTGGATTTGTTGTCCCTTTAAATACGATCGGACGATCGAGATCAAATCGCAATGAACGGTCCATATTCATTTTCTCTTTAAATACGATCAGACAGTCGAGATCAAGTACGATGAATGATGCAGATTTATTTTTTCCTTAGGTACGATAGAACGGTCGAAATCAAACTCGATGAATGACTCAGATTAACGCGAGATAGGTATAAATATTTTGCATCACACTGAACTAAAACCCTAGCTGCCATCCTCCCGCCGGAGAAGAAGAACCAATCGCCGGAGAAGGGAGTCGACCACCACCGCACCGGAGCCACCTCTAACTGCTAAAAAAAGATGAAAAGTTCTCCTACCCACTTCGAATTCGATTTTGAGCACTCATGTGGTCATATCGGAGCCAAACGAATGACGAGTGAGCCAGAAACCACGGGTAAAGCCTAGTGGAGCTGCAGTGGGCAAAACCCGCAACCTTCTTCGATGAGCCTCTTCCACTTTCCTGTTTTATGTAATTTTTTCACTATTGTGTTCACTGTCTTGTTTTCTATAAGTTGACCAAAAAAAAAATTTCAGTCGCGAATATGAGCCGGCAGAGTCGCCGCACCCGAAAAACTCCACTATTGGTAGGCTTTCGTTTTCTGATTTTTTTTGTCAACTGAGATCCCCTAATGTGTTTTTTCGCAGAAATATGTATAAAAGCGGCCGAAACCAGCCAAAATCGGCCGGACCGAGGCAAATTACCACTAAGGACGGTGGTGTCGGTGCCGAAGCATGGCGGCGCTGTCATGCTGGAACCCCGAAATTGGCCATAAATATTTTTAAAATCGATTTTGAGCTTTTTGAGGGTATTTTTAGGTATGTGAAGCGTGTTTTAATCTCCGCAGGAAAATTTAAAAAATTCGGGGACAGCTAGTAGGCGCAGTAGAAAGTTTGGTGTTTCAGAAATCGATTCGGATAAGGATCTCTCACTCTTTTCTCCGTTACGACAAATTGAGATTTACTAATTAGTAATTATTGGTTTTTATAAAAAAAATAGAGAACCTTAAAAATAATTACAGGTCACTAGTGGAGTCGGAACCAATTAGTTCATGTTCGTTTCAATTTTCTATTTATTTTTCTGTATTGCTTATATTTGATTACTATTATCCTATGCATAACACAATTGATGATTTTTATGGTCTTTTTGGTTATTTAATTATTTGTTTCCTCTGCATTGTGTGTTGGTATTTCGGTCATTAGATATTTGATTGTGTTAAACTATATTGTTGTCTAAGTGAACTGTGAGTATAAAATGAGATATGGTTATTGCGTGGTTGATTGTTATATTGATGAAAATCTGTATGGGAAAGACTTACTAGGTACCCGAGAAAGGGCGGACGAGTCCGGTACATAGAGAACCCTACCGTGAACGTTACCTAAGTCGGACGGAGTTGGGAAGTTCCTTACTAGTAAGGTTTGAGAGATATGGTTCACCTTTATATCAGACGGGGTATCGAGGTGGTGGAATATTTGGCGCCCATTACCGGACGGGGTACGGGGACGACTGATTAATTGTTTAAATAGATATTAGATTCACGAGTAGGAGGATATCCCTATGGAACCCCAAGGATACTGGTAAGTGCTAAAAATGTAAAATGATTATTTATTGTTATCTTCTATGTGATAAATAAATAGTGCATGGATATGAGTTTTCATAAATTATTATTGGAGTAGACTTGTTACACAAATATAGAATAAATGGCTTTCTTTATAGTAAATGAATTTATATTAAATTAAGGGCTCTATTGTTTATTTTTCTTATTTTTTTATCAATTTTTAGTTTTTTGTATCTGTTATTAGTGTGATATTCTTATTGGGTTAGTGTAGCTCACCCATTCATTAACTATTTCACATCAAAAGAATCAAGATGCAGATCCCGATCAACAAGGGAGTTGTGAATAGTTTACCACCCGAACTCCCTTTAAAAGCTAGTAAAAGTTGTCCTGTGATTGCTTAGTTATTTGTATTTCGTTTATTTCTTTAATTTCCATTTGTTCTTTTAGAAGAGACATTCTTATATCCCTATTGGGCATTATAAAGTATTGTATAAGAAATGTAAACTCTAACTATATTATTTTGCTTTCCCATTTCATTTATGACTTTATTTTCATTTAAGTTTTAGACATTTACACGTATAATATCATTAGTGAGAAGTTACTGGAAATCATCCTATATTTAAGCTTGTGAATGGAGACCCAGATATAAAGAGAAGTCAGCATTCACCAACAAGTTAGCGAATTTGTTCTTTTCGCGATAAATATGCTGAATTTAAACCTATCAATCATGTAGTAGCAAATACTTGATCGCACAGACTCTAAAACACACTTTTAATTGGTAAAACGCGTATCTTTTTATTACATAATTAGATTTATAGTCTAACACTAAGCTTATTTTAACGCAAGCTTTTTTAATGATATTACTTGAAAGCCCAAAAGAACTAAAACCAAAATCGCCTTTAATCTGAAAGCCAAGACCTGACGTAAAAATAGACTAAAACGGCGCCGTACCCATCATATGTTGTCTTTGTCGGCTAGCTTATAAAAACTGAAGAATTTTGATCCAATCAAGGGAAGTTTGGAGTGCAAGCTTTGATTTTAGCTCCGATTAGGAATCTAAACGACTACAATATTTATAGTTGAACGTCCATGGTTGTCTGTTCTTGCAAGAAACGAATCTCTTCTATTTAAAGAAGACGATAAGGGCTCTCTACACTGCTTATTAAACGTTTTCTTTAATACCTTCCCCGTTTCTTGCGGCACCATTTCTCTGTTCTTTTTTTTTTCTCTCTCTCCTTTTCTTGGCTACCAAACACCCTCGTTACCCATCTCTCAAAACTTGATCGAAATCCCAGACTACATCATCCATGGCGGGATGGGCATCCAAGAAACCAAGGTTGATGTCGAACGAGATTAAAGATGCTAACTCTCTGCTTTCTCAGAAATCCAGCTTCGAGTTCATGCATAACTGCGATCTTCCTCCGCCGTCGAAGATCTTCTCGTGGTCGGAGAAGACGGTGGTTATGTCGTCCATGAACAGGATTTGCAGCATCGAGGGACGCGAAGATGAAGGGTACGAGGTTGATGTATGCAAGGAGGGGAGGAATGAGAAGTTGGAGGTTTTGAAGGCATTGAGATTGTCGCAGACGCGTGCGAGGGAGGCGGAGAGGAAGGTGGAGAGATTGGGGAAGGAGAGGGATTGTATGTCCAAGGCTTTGTTGGAGGAGTCTTTGAGGTCGTTGGCATATCGGCAATGGGTTAAGTCGTTGGAGATTCAGGTGCGCGTGTTGCAGAAAAAGTGGGAGAGATGGGAGGAGAAGCATTCTTGTTATGGGTGCTGTGAGAAATCAATGGAGGGAGAAGATGGTGGAGGAGGAGGGGTAGGTTGGTTTGTGGCTTTAGCACTTTGTTTGGGAATAGCATTTGGTTGTAGATACATTTTTTGAATTTCTAACCATGAACAAAAAACCAAGATACAATTTTTATCCCATTTCTTTTTTCATTCTCAATGACAATACATCGACTTTTCTTTATGGAGTATTGACTGAGTGGAAAAATTGAAGTGGTGGAAAATTGCATCTATAGATGAGCAGGATAAATATGTACAGAAGCAAGCATTCATTCATTATGTTTAGCCTCGAGCGATTTGCAAGGCTGCACATATTGAATATCTATCTACATTTGGTCAATATATACAAGGACTAACCTAAACCTGTAAATGTTTAGTGATGTCAATGGCAGTTAAAAAAGCTTCATTGGATGCTCATGTGTACAGACCTCAGATGATCATAGCAGTCATTACTGTTAGCAAAGAACTCCAAACAGACCCAGCAAATGTGTTTCCCGCACTTGCATTCCACATGATTGCAACCTTCCACCTTCTCAATTGTATATCCGCAGATTGGGCAAGCCTTCACATTTTCCTTCCCTCTGCACCACTCCTTAAGTGATGAATCTGGGTCCTCCTTGAATTCTCGGTATCTCTCACACGAAATGTATGAATGATATTCCAAATGGCATCTAGTGCATGTCTCCACATGACATGCTCCGCAGACAAATGGCTCCCCAGCTGTCCCAGAGTCTGCAACTCGATATACAGAGGGACAATCCGGGGATGGGCAAAATCTGTAGGCACCCCCACTGGCTGCAACAAATGACCCCAGAGAAGCTCTAAAGAGCTCCTCTAATTTCTCACTTGATAATAAAGACCTCAAGTCTGTCAGTAAAAAAGGAGCCTTGCAATCCTCCTTGGTACAGCATATTGGAAAGCTATCCAAGTTTTTTATCGCGGACTCGCACTGTTCTACCAAGCATAACCGACAAAATAAATGTAAGCAGACCTCCAGATTGTAGCCATCCTCAACTGCACACAAGCAAATGGGACAGGTTACTTCATCACTGTGCTTCTCCGATGAACCAACACTCATCCGTGCTACCTCATAAATGATCTCTTCAACTTTCTGCTTCAATTCTCTGCCACCATGAACAGAAATTATATGGTAGCGAACATTAAGAGTGAGCTCAGCTCCCGGTACCTTATCTTTGAGCCCCTGTAGATCGGGCCCAAATTGATTCACTATTTCCTTCATCAAGTTCGGGGGCAAGCCAAGACCTCTCAGATGGACTTCAAGTTGCTTGCTTTCATGGTGTGCGAGAAGGGACTGAACCAATCTCTCTTCAGCCCTGTCAACATTCCCCGAGGTACCGAAGATCCGTACATTTAGGCAATGCCTATCCAAGAGTATAAAGGTTCCTGTATCTTTCTGTATTGACCGCTTTAGATTGATACCATCTCTAGAGAGCAAATGCTGCAAAACATTTGGAGTGAGGCAGGCATGGTCTACTTTCCTCCCTACCATTAGTTCTTCAAGAGGTTTTCTCAACTCTGCAATAGTTTTTGTAGCGTTGGTAGATATTCTCACCTGATAGAAGCCGTTGCTGTTTCTGTCTAGATAACATTCTGTACCTGCAAATAACATATTTTAAAGGTTGAGTCCTAAATAATCTTGGAAATATATGCTCAAGTAATTCCATATAGGGCAAAAAGAAACTCTGCATTTTAAAATAGTTGACTAAGATAGGCATAAATCATGAGCCTTATTCTTCAAGAGATTGCTTGACCAGTTGCTACCTCCATCTCTAAAACCATCAAGAGCATCTCTCCGCAGAAAAGCAGATCAAGTCACAAGTGCACCGTGTGGATTATGTACTCATCTATGCATTTCTCCAACAATGATAATACAACAGAGAGATATTTACAGTTATAACTATCTATCTTTATCTTTTAAGGTACCTACACGCTAAAAACATACATAGCAAGCTAAAAAAGGCTTTGTGTGCCTTGTGTTATAAACCATGTAAAGAAACTGCATATTTGACAATGCCAGCAATTATAAAATAAAATTATGAAGATACTAGAAGGGCTTTGGTGTTGCTTGCAATTATAAGTCCTACCAGAAAAGCTCTTGATGATTTAGGTTCTACTGAGGTTGGGAAAACTAAAAAGGAACACAAGTGGAATAAATTTCCTCAAAGGAAAGGCAAAAGAGAGGGACAGAGAGTACAGGCACAAGTGATACAATAACTTCCTTTGCATGTATAAATAAACTATAAAAGATGAATAAGATTAAAAGAAATACTAAATCACGCTACACATACCCCTTAAATGTTTGAACCTTGCAACTAAGGAATCCAGCTGATTCTTGATTACAGCATAGACAGATGCAGAGCAAGACAAGGAGCTGTGAAACAACTGCTGGCACCTTATTTTTTGCCACGAAAGACAGCCAGGCAATACTTTCCCTTCTAATTGCTGCAAAGCTTTTGCTGCCTCCAAATGTAATCTCCCATCAAAGATGACGAGTGCTCGCATAAAAGAATCCTTCGGTTCAGGTGGGAAGACCTGGACACGGCAACAGTTATTGTGGAGATTCCTTTTAGGCATGAAGGGAAATATTTCTCTCATTACGGCTTCTTCACAAGCACCACCAGGTGGATTTACCACAGTATCTCCTCTCACCAGGAAAAAATCCAAGATTCTCCGGCTTGTAGCCATCCTCAAAACATCCAAAATTTCAGCTTCAGAAAGCTGTTTATCAATTCCACCTACCACAACAGCATCTGCATGCTTTTTACTTCGATCACACCACACAAACTTTCCTCCAATCACAAGGTTAGAGAAGTCGTCAATCAGAAAATGGATGTCATTGACATCACATTTGACAACTCCAATTCCCTTGCTCTGTCTACGAGGCCAATAAACTTTTGCTTTAACAGCCGGGAATGAGAACATTTTATGATCAGCACCAAGATATGTTCGTGAAGGAATTAGTCTAAGTATAGAGCCATGAAAATCAACTTCACTAATCTCAGCAGCCTTTTTAGCAGCATGGGGAGTGAGAAATGTTACCCTGCCCCATTTTTCATTCTCGTCACTCTCTTTTCCGCTGCTCGTTGCTTTGAATGTAGAACAGATAACACCGGATGTACGTTCCTCCAGAAACATTACGAGCTCCTTATCATCAAGGGCATCAAGATTTGAATTATAAACATCAACAGTCAAAAATCTCTTTTCAAGTTCCAGATGCTTGATCACAGCCCCAGCTCCAAACAGTGCGAAAGGTGTGATTCCAGGCCCATGGTACAAACATTTCTCCATGCATTCATTACGCAACAATCTCTGTTCACGCTTCAAATCATCATTTACAGTGAAGAAAACTCTTTCCATGTCTTCCGAGGATGCAAATAGTTGAATTTCATTCTGATCAACCTTCACTTCAATACCAATCTTCTCATCCAGACAAGCACTTCTAACCCGTGATACAAGAGAGAGCAGAGTACTGCGGGACTTCCCACAAAACCTTTTCAGTAGGGCGCTGCCAAAACCAGTAATCAATTTAAGTTGCAACTTCCTTGTTTCCATCTTTGAGTTGTCAAACATAGGAGGAGGTTCAAGAGTAGACAAAGATTCAATGTCAAAAGCAGTAACGCAGACCAAATACTTATTAGTAATTGACAGGATTTCACCAAAAACAACCCATCTTGGCTTCTGACCAAATGTCAGCAAAGAGCATGATGGATGTAGCTGAATATGCTGCCTGGTCAAAGCCACTTCATAACCAAGATCATCATATCCGGAGTACATAGCAATGTTTTCCGAAAGGGAGCAAAGTATGCTCTTTTTCAAATGAGTATCATGCTCGAGTAACTTATACGGATTCCAGACCCAGTAACTAGGAACGATAACAGAAAGTTCATTTTTGAGACAACCTTCCAACTCTTTGACTGCGTCCGCACACCTTCGCAAGGATTTGGCATTGATGCTGTTCTCCCAACACCATTTATTTCTCCTGCTTTCAGGCAGAGACTCCCATTCCTTATAGACAGAAAGCAGTGTGAAGAGATCACCATTGCAGTGACAAAATTGCACCTTAAGGCAATCAGCTTTTAGCTTATCGTCGTCATTACCAACTCTGCAGAATATGCTGCTGGCATTTGCCATAACAGCAGCAAGAACAAGGCCCTCTTTCAACAAGCTAAAACGAAAGCAACTAATGATCAACTTGCCAAGCCTTGGTTCAATACCCAATTTGACTATATACTTTCCCTCTTCAGTCAATTCAAAAATACCTTTGTTCTGTGTAATAGCTCCTAACTGAACAAGATTCTGAGTGGCCATGTCAATGGCTTCAGCATTAGGTGCATCAACAAAATCAAAACCCTTTATATCTGTGATGCCCAAAGCAAGAATCCTCAGAACTGCAACCCCTAGATGAACTCTGCGAATCTCGGGTTCCTGGTTGGGAGGCATTGACTCAAAAACACATTCTGAGTAAAGTCTATAGCATCTTCCAGGTTCTGTTCTCCCAGCACGGCCAGCGCGTTGCTTAGCAGAGCTCTGACTGGTCCAGCAAACTCTAAGGACATTCATGCCAGTGAAAGGTTCAAATTTACTCTCTTTGACCATTCCAGAATCAATAACATACTTAACTCCAGGAATGGTAAGTGATGTCTCTGCAATATTTGTAGCAAAGATGACTTTTCTTTTCCCAGGGTAATCTTGAAAAACACGAAATTGCTCCTCAAAAGAAAGCTTCCCATGTAAGGGTAAGACAACTGCAGAGGGAGCTTCCAACCTTTCACATGCCCATTCTACCTCCATTTGAGAAGTCAAAAAGGCTAGAACAGTCCCTCCTTCCTCTGTTTTGTGAACCTCTGCAGCTATCCTTACAACATCGTGAACATATGAAGCAATGCTACCGCAACTGGTAGTTCCCTCGGTGGCCCTAGGGACATATTGGACATCAACTGGAAAGTTCCTCCCCATCAGATGAAAGATTTCACAGCCAAAAAAATATTCTGAAAGCTGTTTTGCATCAGCTGTAGCAGACATTATGACAAGCCGTAAATCAAGCCGACAGTTAAGCAAATTTTTAACCAATGCCAGAAGAAGGTCAGTGTTCAGGCTTCTTTCATGAGCCTCATCAATAATGATGCACGAAATCCCAGACAAATTCCTATCTTTCATGTAGTGCTGCAGCAAACAGTTGTCCGTCATATATATTACCCCAGAACCAAACTGTTGAGAAGACGAAAATGCTGGATACGATATCACTGATTTTTCATAGCACCCATTGCTTTCTTCCCTGGCCCTATGTGCCAATGAGAAAGCAGCAATTTTTCGGGGTTGAGTGCAGATGATGGACTTATCAGCAGCTATTCCTGAATCAGCAAGGAATTGAACCAACTGCGTACTCTTGCCGGAGCCAGTCTCTCCAATCAAAACCATTGTCTGTGTTAATGATAGCCAGAGAAAAGAAAAAAGTATAACTACATAGTAGAACAAATTGAACAACTGAATGCGAAAAGACTGTCCCAAAATGAAGAAGAATCAGTCACAAGATTCTAAGATGAAGAAACATTATTCATGCAAAATTCAACCTTTTTATATATATTCAATGATGACAACTTTTCTGTTTCTATTTTTCAGAGGAATAACGGAACACTTTTAGATAGCAAAAGATGAGCAAGAACATGAATGCACACAAAAAAAAACAACATTATTGCACTGGTTCACAAATGCGAAAGAAAAAAGTGATGGAAGAAAACATGACAAAGATGCTATCCATAGCTAGCAGAAAAAAACCAACAATTGTGTAAAAGCAGCTAATGATAAAATCAATTGACAACTTAATACGAGAAACTTCAGAAATAAAAATGGGGACAAGGTGCAAAACCCAAAATATAAAGAAAAGATTTTAACCACCAAAAATTTCAACCAGATACATGATCATGAAATTTTTCATTAATTTCGTACAAAAACTGAGAGCCTGACTCACCACCTATACTATGAGAAATTATTTGTTCTACTCCTGGTGTAGGAGCGATGTGATTCACCCTCTGGTCACTTCAAATTTTGTTAGAAAACCACCAGTAATTTTCTCTCATATTACACTTTTTACTGAAACATCTCAATTTTTTGTCAGAAAAACACGACTAGTCACCTTTAAATTTTTTACCCCAGGACTTCCCTCTCTTGTTCCAGTATAAGTCGTTGAGTGATTCGGTTATCCATCTCATGCCGTCTCTGTTGAGACTGATTAACTACCTGTTTCTGCAGCCGTTTTCACTTATTCGAAGTCCATCTAGCTTTCTTCCTTCGCAGATGATGTCGAATGACTTATTTCCGATGAGAATGAACCGCTTCGAGTTGGAGAGAAACATTGTTCGATGAAAACAGAAATCAGGTCGGTCATTGGAGAGAATGCACCAGTATTTGATTTAAGAATTGGGTTGTTTGGGAAGAGAGAGTTGAAGAGATGGGTGTATCGAGGGGAAGATCAGTTGTTTGAGAGAGTGAAGTGAATTATCTCAAAAAAGAAAAAGAAGAGGTGAAGTGAAGAACAAGAGATCCAAAACTGGTAGAGAAAATAACATCAGCTGCTTACAAATGCTTAAGAGGAAGTCAATAATCTGTGTAATTAGCGCAGGGAAGGATTAGAAAATATCTATAATTAATTATGGGTTACTAATAGAGGAAGAATAAAAAATTATTCTCTGTTGATGTTTGTCAATTTATTTTACAGTTTAAATGCATAATAATATATGCTTTATTGATTTTATGGTTTTGAATGCTTGTATTCCTGCCTTATGTGACTACTATTAAATTGAAAAATTGAGACATGATTGCATTCCCTTATGCATGTTTGTTTGTTTATGTGATTATGGTTGAATTGAAAAATGGAGACTAAAGAAAAATAGAAAATTGTGTGTTAAGTGAATGGATGAAACGACAGCGTTACTGAATATCCTAGGAAATGGTGGACGAACTGAGTACAATAGAAAATCCTACCGTGAATGTTGTCTCATACCGGACGGAGTATCGAAACTTAGTAATTTGGTGCTCATACCGAACAGGGTATGGGGACGACCCATTTCACCCTCATATCGGAACGGGTATTGAGATTTAGTAATTTGGTGCTCATACCGGACGGGGTATGGGGATGGTCCGTTAATTGAAAATGTTAAAGAAAATAGTTCATGTGTAGCGGAGACATCCCTATGAACCCCCATGGATACTAGCAAGCTAATAGAAATGGACAGTTGGTGTTTGATTTATTGAATATGGATCTATGATGTATGTGTGTTACCGATTGCATATCAAATTATGATAAGTGTTTTGTTATTGTCTCTATAGGTTGCTTTTATAAATCTCGCTGCGGTAAGTAGACGATAAGTGATTTTATTATTACTAAATGCATTTGTTTAATTAAATGCTCCAT